ATTGAGACTGGGCTAGGTGGTGCATGCCTGTGATCCCAGCTTTTGGGGGGCTAAAAACAGGAGAATCACTGCAAGTCTGATCTACGTAGTGAGACCCTGTATACCCTGCACCAAATACATTTTAAAAAAAAATTTTTTTTAAGATATTGAAGAAGCTAAGGAGAGTTGCTCCTAAAAATTAGCTAAGCAAGCCTAGGTAGAGATGGACATTCTCCTTGCCTGGCAAGAGCAAGATCCTGAGTTCAATCCCTGATACTGCAAAAAAAAAAGAGAGAGAGAGAGAGAGATGGACATTCTCTCAAGTTCTTTGATTAAAAGAAGCTTCAGTTATCCGTGCTGTGCTTTCTGTTTGGGGTAGCTGGATAAAGACATGTCAATTGTACAGTCTCCTACTAACACCGCCTTCACTAGACTTTACCTACCTTTCCCTCATTCAGTCATGAAATGGTCAACAACATCTAAAGGTTCAAGTTGCTTTTCTGAGATGTGATAGGTTCATTATTGCCAATTTCCAGTAACATATATAGGTTCTCCTGAGGCATTTTATTAAATATTACTTAAGAAATCACATTAAGTAATGTGAAAAATTAAAGGTTACAACTCTTATAAGTCTACTCTTAGAGCTACGATTTATGGCATCAGACTGGGAAAACAACAAAGATCGAGGCCGTATTTCTGAAAGGTAAGGAAAATCCCTGCTGACTGTTGTACTGAGCATGGAGCAGGCATCATGCTATTAAACTGACAGAGCTGGTGTTTGATCAGAATTGTTTTTAGTTCCAAAATTCATCCAAGAAGGAGCCACCAGGACAATAAGGCAGTAACTTATTTAAGGGTGCAGGCAAGCACATGACAAGCTAAAAGTGGGAATATGCACGATGCATGTTTTAGTGAAAACAGGCACTGGCTGTGGAGCCAGGACACTGGACCAAATTTCGGCTGCTCTATTAGCAAAATGATTTGGGTATTTAGTCCTTTAAAGTTTTTAAAGTTTGCATTTATGATCAGTTTCTACACTCTGCAAAGCATAAAAGGGTACCCAGAAAGAAGACTTATTAATGCTGCCTTGCGTTGTTCTTTTTGTCCTTCTGAGACAGGGTCTCACTACGCAGTGCAGGCTGGCCTTGAGCTCACTTGTAGCCCAGGCTGCCCTCAAACTCACAGTGACCCTCCTGCCTCAGCCTCCCAAGTGCTGGGTACAGGCGTGAGCCACCATGCCCGGCTCATCTGTTTTTCGTAACTTGCACTCCAGATACTGCTAATGCCCCGCCCCATCTCCTCCCGCTGTTCTTTCAGTTCCCTTTCTTTACAAGAGAATCTTTCTCTGAATTTAGTGGTATCATTCTCATATATTTGTATCACTTTCACTTTCAGAGCACCAGTTTTCTCTGGTTTTATCTACAGATTTACTTGCTTTACTACCACGTAGCTGCAAGGGCCGTTACTACGTTATTGTGGCACCCTAGGAAAACGCTGTACTTTTAAAAACAGCTGGGGAGATAGCTCAGCATCATGACCACTTGCCTGGCAAGCGCAAGGTCCTGAGTTCAATCCCTAGTACCAAATAAAAACAATTACAACTCAGAAGAAATAAAATCTTACTAGAAAAAGACACAAACACAATATACTGTATTTCACTGAAATTAACTATGAGAATGAGAATAATTTCGTGTACCACTTGTATTATAGAAGTTATATTCTCACAATACTTTTTTTTGCTTGTGTTATTGGTTTGTGTTTTTCCCACCCTGAGACAGGGTCTCGCTGCATAGCTCAGGCTGGCCTCAAACTCAGTGATCCTCCTGCTTCAGCCTCCTGAGTGTTAGGGTGACACGTGTGTGTCACCATGCCTGGCCAATTATTGTTTTGTGATGCTAGGAACCAGCCCAGGGCCTCACACGCTAGGCAAGCACTCTCCCTCTGGACTAGCCTCCCAGGCTCGGTGCTTTCTCTAATTACAGAAAATTTCAAATACAGAAGTAAAGAGGCTATCACACTGAAAATCCCATATCCTAACCTCTAGAATTATTAATTCATGGTCAATTTTATTATCAGGGATAATGTATAACTATTTTATTTTATTATTTTTTTTAAACTTTTTTTTTTTAACATTTATTGTGTGTGGGGGGGGGGCAGCTCAGCCCACCAGGGGGCGGGGCTGGCTGGCATGTGGTGCTGGGGGATTGAACTGCGGTCCCTGTGCTTTGCCAAGCTTGTTCCAAGTAGGTGCTTTAGACCACTGAGCCATCTCTCCAGCCCTATAACTATTTTAAAAGTGTTCTTTTAAAGAAAACTATCCTTCACACCATTATCACAATGTAAAAGCAAAAGACAATCCCCAAACAATAATTCTTTAATATGAATCTATTCAGTTTTTCACAGTGTCTCACAAAGTTGCATTTTTTAGAAACATTCTTTTTATAACACATTAGAACAAGGATCCAAATAAGATCCATAGATTGTGACTGGGTGAATGTTGCTTTAAATGTATAGGTTCCTCTCCTCCATTTTTTAAACTCCTTAGAATCTATTGCCCAAAAGGTAGTTTGTTTTGCTTTTTGCTAAGTGCATTCCTTGCTGTCATTTAACAGTCTGTATATCCTATGAATTAGTAAAGTAGGTTTTTTGACTGGGGGTGAGGGAGAACATTAATCCCTTAAGACATTATTTACTTATGCTTGGATGACTTTCCTTCCATGAAGCTACCAGCCAGTGCTAATCCAACATAATTAATTCAACATGCTTCAGGTTTGGTGCAACCCATCAAACTGTTTCTTGATATAAGAAGGACAATAACAACTACAATTATGGTCCTGTTTTTGTTTAGAAGAAGCCCAATCGAAGCCAGGTACATGGTACATGCCTGTCATCCCAGCACTCTGGGCTGAGGCAGGAGGTCTCAAGTTCCAGTCCAACCTGAGCAACTTAGCAAGACGTATGTCAACAATTCAGAGGTCTTGGGCTCAATCAGAGGAAGGAGGGAGGGAAGGAGGAACAAGGATGGGTGGCAGCAGCCAAGCAGCATGGGCCTGGGCCTGCAGACTTCTAGTGTCTGGGACAGTGGACAGTAAGATTCTGTTGTTTCAAGCCACCATCTCTGTATCATTTGTTATAGCAGATCTAGGAAACTAGGCATAGTTTTTTCTTTTTTAAATCATCGAATCATTAATGAAATAAATTGGTTAAAATATTCCCCAAACTCCTTTACAGATAGAATCCAACTTTTCCAAATGACTGTTCAACTTCTGAGTTTTGTCAATGTGCATTTTCTCACATAATATCCTCTGTGGAACCAAGTAAGTGATGACTTCTTAGAAAAACCACTGGGAACTAAATGATGCTGACTTTGCAATTGAGTATGTGGAATCTGCCAACTTCTGATTTCCTGGGAATGCTGGCACACTTATCTGATTGATTCTCCCCCACACTGCCACTCTCAATAAAGGGCCAATGGGCTCAGAGAATCTGCAACGACTGAGGGACCGCTCCCCAAGCCTTAATGACAGCACTCTATACATTTAGGACAAATAAGACAGTTCTACTTCAGAAATGTTAAAATGTGAGAAGAGGGATTCCTCAGTATTACTCACATACAGGATGGGCTAAGTAAGTCTTGAAGAGCAACACAGCCTCCAAACAGAGTAAGCTTATTACTTCTGGTGGCTTGGGAGATGCTCTGGCAGGTTACTATGTCTCATCCTTCTGCAATAATCTTTGCCATGTTAATTCTCCTAACATGGCTCCACTGCTTTGTGCATTGTAAAACCTTTCACTGGTGTTTGTTTGTTCTGAGTTAACCCTTTTATCACCATGATTGTAAAGATTCTTGTGGGATTAAAGAGTGACAAAAAAATGACAACTGGACTAAATCATCAATTTCACTTAGGAGCTGAACACAAATAAACATCTATCAATATAAACTGATTACCACTAAAATAACCTGAAGATGACTACATCTTACCTATACACGATACATAAACATCCATAGTTCTCAGAGGATCTCACTTAAGTTTAATTCACACAAATGCATAAAATTAACATATACTATATCACCTTATGTACTGATACAATCTACATTGTGAAATAATCTCTCTAATCAAGCCAATATATTCATCACCTCACAGCTACCATTTTCTTTTTTCCCCTTGTATTGAAAAAACATCAACCCTCTTAAAAAATTTCAAGTGCCCAAGAGTGGATTTTACATTGTTGTCCATTAGATCTTGAGAACGTTCATTCTGCTTATCTGAACTATGTGTCCTCTGATCAGCATGTCCCTATGTCACCATCAGGACACTACAACCATCACTCTCCTTTCAGAAGACCATTTCTAACACAGCTTCCTGAGCCTGCTCCTACCAGCCTGCTCCAGCTCAGTAAATGGCAACTCTCACTTCACTTGCCCAGACCAAGACCCTGCAGTAACCCCGACTTCTCTCAAGCATGTACCCTGTTTCATCAGCACATTTGGCTCATTTCACCCTTGAAACATAACATGTCCACTCACACATCACTTGGCTAGCCTAGAAAACCAGTGCCCACCTCCTCGCTTATAAACAACTAGAGGAGTGCGTTCTCTGGAATGGAGTAAGCAGCCTAACCCAGAGGAGGAGTCACGGAACTCTACAGATAGCACCTTTTTATCCAAGCCCGGATAAAAAACCCTGGAGAACTATGAACCAAACACAAAAGACAAGAATATTTAACTACTCTTTTAAATACTATGTCAGAGGTGCTTTATTTCCAAAGTCAAAAGTGTGGCCAAAGCCCAGCAACAATTGCCGCAGGAACTGTTCCTTTGTTCCTGGATACCCTTCTGTTTATAATTATCAACCCACAAAGTATTTTACTATCTCCACAAAGGACATCAGTGCTAATCAGCAATGTTAAGAATACAACTCCAGTTGCTAAATACAAAACTACTGAGTAATGCTTTTCTCTTCCCCCAACATGAGAAACCACATAAATGACTTCACAAAGCAGACAAAAAAATCACTTACTATGAAGCAATGTCAAGTCATAAAATCTTACACTTAACAGATCTTCTCTTATGATGGCCTTTTTTCTGCAAAAGAGAAAAACCATCATTCTGTTCATTTATTTTTAACTTATTGACCATAAAAATGAAATCTATTGTGCATTCATTTTATTAATTATACTTGAAGTCTGGAAGGATAGGAGGAAAGAAGGATGGGAGGAACAGAAGAAGGAAGAAAGGAGGTAAGGAAGGAAGGAAGGCAGAGAGGCAGGCAGAAAGACAGAAAAGCTTACAGAATAAATATTTAAACATAATAATATACATAATATACAATACAGATGAATGTCCACTTTGTATCTGTGTATTCAAAATGGTTAGGATAGATATATAGTTACATTCTCTTAGTGAATAGAGGAATTTGTTGTAATAGTGTTTGTAAATAGGATCTCATGTCCGCATCTTGTACAGCAATTAACCACTAGGAAGAATGTATGCAATGTGTTAATTATTGAAACCGTCCTACCAATTTGGTTTGAAACTATCTCACTGCTATTTGTTTCTCAATAAAATTATGGAAAAAATAAATAAATTCAAATAAAAAATATATATGTAATATACAAATATAAGTTATTTTTTACTAATTTCCAATGTACTACTCATATTCAATTTAGTTCTGAAATTATGAAATACGCATTAAATTCAAGTACTAAGTACTAAATTTCTACACATTTATGATAAAACAAAACAAGAACAGAAACAACTAAAGTAACTAATCCAAGTATGTTTTAAACTTTAAAACATGAACATCTGTTATAGTGCCTGCTAAAGCAGAAGGCAGCAGGTGTGAAAGCAGTTTCAACCGTAACTACCTCATAAAGGAAGAGCAGGCTACTTCATTAGCCACCTTCTACTTGGTCTGGCTCAGGCCTACCCAAAACGCGACCTGAACGCCAGTGCTTCTCCATCAACTGTTTCTAACTAGGTTGTGACAGGTACGAAATGAGAGTAAGCAATCAGAAATTTTTACGAAAATTCACACTTGTAACATTTGAATTCTTATGTAAATTCTGGTCTACAGTAGACGGGGGGGGGGGGGGGGGGGGGGCCCACTCACACAAACAAAAAACTCTGACTTTACCAAACACAGAGCTCAAATAATAGTCTAAGATTTTAGCTGATCCTTCATTAAAATATCAAGTGTGGTTTCAAAAAAGTAAACACATTTAAAAGTCATTTTCTGTGTATTTAAAAGTATTTTTTGTGTACTGGTTTATTTCTGGTTTTACTTACATGAACACCACTTCTGAAGTTAATCACTAACCTTATAAAGCCTTTAGGTCTTTCATGACAAGATAGCTGTTTCTTAAAAGAGCTTTCATTTTTTGTTTCTTTTGCTTCTCTTAGTTGTCTTTTTACTTGAACCTATGAGAAAAACAAAACCAGCTACTTAGAATAACCCAACACCTAAAAAAAAACCAAAAAAACAAAAACAAAAAAACAACCTCTAGATGGAAGAAAAACAGCAGAATTTTAGTAACAGTAAGAAGCCAGTAAGAATCTAGATGGCGAAGAAAAGCACAAGGACCAAGCTGTAACAAGTCTTTTTTTTTTTTTTTTAATATTTATTTTTAATGTATCTGGTACAGGGTTTCACTATGCAGCTTGGACTTGTAGGGATCCTCCTGTCTCAGCCTCCCCAGAGTTGGGATTACAGGCGTGCAACACCGTGCCTGGTCTCTGTAGCAAGCTCAGAGTGCCTAGGGGCAGGGCTGGCACAACTTGTGGTGCCAGGGATCCAACCCCAGTCCCTGCACTTGCCTAAGCAGGTGCTTAGTCCACTGAGCTATCTCGCTGGCCCTGTAACAAGTCTTTCAAAAAGCAAATAATTCCATATACATCAAAGAATAAGGGGGCCAGGGAGATAGCTCAGTAGAATAAGCACTTGCCTGGCAAGCGCAAGGGCCTGAGTTCAATCCCCGGTTCCACCAAAAAAAAAAGAGAGAGAGAATAAGTAGGGTTTTTAAAGCAAGTGAATAAAATAATTAAATTTGTTTTCTTCAGGAAGTTAACTTTGGCAGTGATGTAGAGAATGAACCAGTTAGGTAGAAGCTATCAAAATCAGAAAGCCAGAAAAAAAAATTCTTATATAATAGCAAGATCTACACTGAGCACCATAATAGTCACCTGGAATATGACTGCTGAGTGTAGCACGGTTTCTCTGAATGGAGATGTACTATAAGCTTAACAAAAGCTTACTACACCATGAAAAAGAATGTAAACTCTGTCAGTAATAACTTTACATACATGTTCTGGAATATGCTGCAATACATATATCACTACAGTTTACTTCAATTATTTCTTTTTACTCTTTTAAACTGCCTAAAATGTTTATGTAGTGGCTAGTATACTTCTATTGGACAACACTCATCTAAAGGGAGCAAAGGAATATACTTAAGAACACATTAGGGCTGGCCAGATAGCTCAGTGGATTAAAGCACTTGCTTAGGCAGGCCCAAGGACCAGGGTTTGATTCCGTCGTGCAGTTTCAGCCCCATCCCCAGGGCATGATGAGAGAGTGACTGAGACTGCACGTGGTGGTATGCTTGTAATCCTACTGCTTGGGAGGCTGAAAACAGGAGGATCACTACAAGTCCAACCTATGTAATGAGACCCTGTAGGACCCATACTAAATACATTTAAAACACACACACACACACACACACACACACACACACACACACACTCTCTAAGTAGAGCTGGGGAGATAGCTCAGCAGCACAAGTGCCCACCTGGCAAGCACAAAGTCCTGAGTTCAATCCCTAGTACCACAAAAACATACACACACACAATAAGTAGAGAAGATGAGAGAGACAAGAGACAAGTGATTCTTTAAAAGGTTTATTAGATGAAAATCTACAATAAAGCAGTTGAAAATATAGGTTTGATTCTGAGGAAAGAGACATGAACCAGTGATAAAATTTTAGAAGTACTTAAAATACAGGTATTAAAGCTACTAAAGTGATTAAGAAGGCTGAGGGGAAAAGTAAACCCAAGTAGTTGGAATGGAAATCCTGTGAAGAGCTCCAATGATTAAAAGAAGCAAAATGGAGGGGGGCTGGATAGATGGCTCAGTAGAATAAGCACTTCCCTGGGAAGTGCAAGGGCCTGAGTTCAATCCCTGGTTCAGCAAAAAAAAAAAAAAAGCAAAGAGGAAAGTGATCAATGACGTAGAGTGTGCCTAAGGAGAGTCACATGGGGAGAAGACACTCTCTCAGGCTTTCACAGAGAGCACATAGGCCAAGCATTGGCCGTGACTCATCCACATGGCTGACACTGACAAAGGTTCTACAATCTGAGGTACAGGATCTCAAGATAAATCCTGAGGGCATTTCACTGACCTTGTCAGACCAAAAAGCTACAACTCTTGTTGCACAGGTCCTGCTTTACCTTGGTCTTAACCATCCAGTAGAAAAGTATAAAGATGAAATATAGGAAGTAAAGCCATGTTGTTATGTTGAGCTGTGGGGGACTCAGGTCAATAATTTCTGACATTGCCAGTTAAACAGAAAACCCAATGATATTATGGGCTTCTGTACTCTTTTAGAATATTTTGCTGAGTTTACACACCTATAATATTCAACAACGGAACTTAAAAAAAATTGGGGTATAACTATGAATGTCCATTTTGTATCTGTGTATTCAAAGTGGTTGGGATAGATATATAGTTGCATTCTCTTAATGAATAGAATGATTTTTTCTAATGGTGTTTGTAAGTAGGATCACAAGTCTGCATCTTGTACAGCAATTAACCACTGAGAAGAATGTATGCAGTGTATTATTTGTTGAAACTGTACTTTCGATTTGATTTGAAACTGTCTCATTGCTATATGTTTATCAATAAAACTTTGAAAAGAAAAAATAAATAAATAAATAAAAATATTTAAAAAAAAAAAGCAACAGCAAAACTGGAAGGACCTGGCAAAGACGACTGGTAGTCAAACAGGCAAAACAAAAATACATACTTCTGCACAAAAGGACATTCAAAGGAAAAAGGATAGTTCACTCACATACACACACACACACACACACACACACACACACACACAAAACAAAGGGATTTGGAAGTCATAATATTATTCAGGATTTAAAAAAAAAAAAAAAAAAGGACTTAAGACTATTCCAGTAAAACAAGATGAGGGAAGTGAATACTCCACGCAAGCTAAAAAGTGAATTGAGAGGCCTCATTCAAGAATATAGCCATAGAGCCAGGGAAATAGCTCAGTGGAGTAAGAGCTTGCCTAGCAAGCACAAGGTCCTGAGTTCAATCCCTGGTACCACTAAAGAAAAATTTAAACATTTAAAAAAAAAAAAAAATCTGAATCTTTTGGGCTAGTCAAATAGCTCAGCAGATTCAAGCACCTGCTTAGGCAGACCCAGGAGCTGGGAGTTCCATCCCGGGCCTGCCATGCTGGCCCCGCCCCCGGGGCACACTGAGACAGCCAGTGAGACTGGGCATGGTGGTGCACACCTACAATCCCAGCTTTTAGGAGGCTGTAAACAGGAGGATCACCATGAGTCTGATCTACGTAGTGAGACTCTGTAGACCCTCTTCTAAATACAAAAAAAGAAAAGGTAAGTGAAGGCTTGAAAGCAGTTAAGGTCACAGAAATATATTTAAAAAATATAGATCTCAAATCACAAATATTTAAAAAGATATCTTTTAATTTACAAATAATTAGATTAGTATTGTACCAAATTTTTAAGTAATGTCCAAGCTGTATTAAATAAATGTAAACTTTTATTCCAAGCCAACAGAACAAAGTCCCTTTGGATGCTCAGTTCATGTCAGTGAATCTAGCAATGCAATTTTATAAAGATACTTTGAGTAAACAGTCAGTGTCTTCCAGAAAAGCCATTTGATCAAACCAAATGTTCTATCTTTTGCTCTAAAACACACAATTTCCCTCAATGGCAAAGACACAGCAGGCTAAGTCGTTTTTCACACGATCATTTTAATTTTTCATTTTACTTAGACACAGTGTCTCATTACCCAGCTCAGATCCGCAGTGTTTCTCCTGTCTCGGTCTCCTCAACTTGAGGATTACTGGCATGCACCACCACGCCCAGGGTTCCAGGGTCTGCATGACATGCAGTGTTGGAATGGAACTGGCCAGGTAGGCACTTAAGACTGCCAAACCATCTCTCCAGCCCTCACACAATCATTTTACCTGAAATGCAGTCTTATTTCTACCTCAGCAGGCTCATCTGATAAAAATACAGCAACACAAGTTATAAATACCTATATGGGGAAGATGACTTTTTTTTTCCCTGTATTTTAAGGAAGGGTCTACAGGATGTTCAGGGTCTCACTACCAGATCAGACTCATAGTGACGCTCCTGTTTACAGCCTCCCAAGAGCTGGGATTACAGGCCTGCGCCACCATGCCCAGTCTCAATTACCCATGCCCTGGGGGTAGGAACAGCATGGCAGGCCCAGGGGTCAAATCCTGGCCCCTGCATCTGCTTGTGGGCGCTTTAATCCACTGAACTATTTGGCTGGCCCTAAAATTACCGCTTACATACTCTTCCCTCCAGTAACCAGTCAGAGTAAACTATTCATTCATTTCTAGCAGTAATGGCATAACATACATACAAGTATGCTCATTTTTAGTTATTTATCATTTGTTTTCAGACTATCCTTCATAAGTCAGGAATATGTGTTTTTTCTTTTCTTTTTTTTCCAGAACCGGGATTGAACTCAGGCCCTTGCGCTTTCCAGGGAAGCGCTTATTCCACTGAGCCATTTCCCCGGCCGCTATGTGCTTTTTTTTTTTAAATATTTATTTATTTAATACAGGGTCTTGCTATACAGTTCAAACCGGTAGTGATCCTCCTACCTCAGCCTCCCCAGCACTGGGATTACAGGTGTAATCCACGCCCAGTTTCAGTGGTCCACACAGTGCAGGGCTGGCACAATAGGACCGAATCCGAGTTCCTGCGCATGCCAGTCAGGCGCTTAGACCACTGAGTATCTGTCTACCCTGCCTATTTTTTCTGTAAGTGAAACATCGACATCAATAAAAAATCACAATCATAGTTCCTAAGTGTTATCAATGAGAAAACCAGCATTTAAGAGTAAGATATCATTTTATTTTTAATTTTTACTGGTTAATCTCAAAATGTTTTTTATGAAAACAATTTTCAGATTTTTTTAGTTTTTTGAAGGTTCCATCTACAAGGTTCCACTATGTAGTCTAGGCTAGCCTTGGAACTCACTATGTAGCACAGGCTGGCCCCCAACTCAGGGCAATCCTCCTGCCTTAGCCTCTCAAGTGCTGAGATTATAGGCATGCGCCACCATACCCCGCAGTTTTCAGATATTTTATTTTTTTTCTGTTTTTTAAATTTTTTTTTCTTTTCATAATTTTATTAAGAAACAAATAGCAATGAGAGTTTCAAATCAAATTGGTAGGACAATTTCAATAATTAACACATTGCATACATTCTTCCTAGTGGTTAATTGCTGTACAAGATGCGGACATGATATCCTATTTACAAACACCATTAGAACAAATCCCTCTATTCATTAAGAGAATGTAACTATATATCTATCCTAACCACTCTGAATACACAGATACAAAATGGACATTCATCTGTATCCCCTTTTTTTGTTACGTTCCGTTATTTGAATATTATAGGTGTGTAAACTTAGCAAAATATTCTAAAAGAGTCTAGTAGCACATAACAGTATTGGGTCTTCCGCTTCACTGACAATGTCAGAAATTGTCCTCTACAGCTCAACATAACAGCATGGCTTTACTTCTTATATTTCGTTTTTATACTTTTCTGCTGGATGGTTAAGACCAAGGTAAAGAAAGCAGGACCTATGCAACAAGAGTTGTAGCTTTTGGGTCTGATAGTCAGTGAAATCCTCTCAGGATTTATCCTGAGATCCTGTACCTCAGACTGTAGAACCTTTGTCAGTGTCAGAGTTTTCAGATATTTTAGACATGAGTGTTTGTGGGACTCAGTCTTTGAATCTCACATTAAACGTTCTTCAAAGGAAATGTATTTAAAGTGCAATTCAACAAATAAATGTCTTTGAAATATAAGAAGGACTCACAATAACAATTTAAATAATTAACTACAGAAGTTCTAGAGCATCACAAATCTAATATATTTTTAAAATGTGGTATATCATAAGGTGACCACTATAGATATGCCCTCTTCAGGACACAAGGAGGATTTCCACACCTTTACTGAAAGGTCTGAACTTGTCATGCTGAAGAGGAATGACACTAAACCCAATGATGAACAGTTTTGAAATAAACACAAACTTGAAATCTATCAAAGCACAACAGCCTCACTTAACTTTACATATCTCATGCTGTAAAATAAGCTATAAGACTTACCTTAACACAACCTTCCAAAGCACTGAATTTAAACACTGCCTGAAAAGGTTTTCGGTCTATAGGACATGAAGCCAGTGTCTGAAAAATGATTAACAAGTTATCTTTACACATGTTTCCTCAAGACAGCATATTAAACTATAGCAAATAAAACTGTAAGTTTTCCAGTGGAACAAAAATATCCTTTTATCTCAAATATAAAGGAGATGAAATAACTCTTGGCCTGTTTCATAAAACAGAATACCGTAAATTCATTTCATTCACTCAAAAATTTACTCAATACCTACTGTATGTCAAATAACTGGAATACAGTGATGAACAGGAGAGGTAGTGTCTCTGTTTTTAATATCCCATTAAATCTTCCTGCTCCACTGAGAACTACTGGTACAATGAAAGCAGGGCTGAAATCCACCGACATGTAAGTAAAACAGATTGTAAAGCTAGACCTCTGCTTAAAAGGGAATGTCTTGTTTAGACTTTTAACAGATTTTAAGTCTATGACTTAATTAAGATTTTCCCCCTCAAATTCATTACTGAGTGGGCAGTTGCATCTCAATAAAAATATTAAAAATACATTCCTCTATCTCTACTTATTTATGCAGGTCACCTCTTCAGAACATTTATTACACATCATGCACATCCCCAAGACCATTCCTCACATTCTCTCCAGTATATCCTTTTGCAGATAACAGATGCATATACAGCTATCTTTTTAATATTGTGACTCATGTGCTGGTTTGAACTTTTTTTCTCAACTGTATAAGTTTAGATTGGATCATACTAATTCCTAACAGCATAGTATGTTTAATATTAAACATTAGATTTAACAATATTTTCTTTTATATGAACACAGGTGAGCGTATTTTTCTTTTCCTATTAAATAAGTAAGACTTTGACAGGAAAATGGGAAATATGACCATTCTTTAATAAATTAGTTCAGACTGCCATCGTTTAGGTACTTTCAAGAACTAGGAATTTGGTACGCTATTGCTTTCCCTGCAGAAACCCTACAAAGCTTTGCTAAAGACAACGAAACAGCCCATGACTTTTAATAATACATTACAAACAGTAATGCTACTTCAAAGAATTCAACATTCCAACTATATATGATTACTGTTTACCAACTAACATATGCTATACCAAACTTCTTAGGTAAGAGGGTCTATTACCATATATACAATGTAAAAGTATTTAAAAGTAATATCTTTCAAGTGCTTTCCATTCTCACCCAAGTTTAATAGTATTTTTTATTTTAAATGTAAATGTGCATGAACATTCATAAAAAGATTAAAGAACAAATGAATAATTACTCCCTTCAAAGTTTGCTTAAAAACTAAGATGCATAGGGGCTCTTTATTGTCTACTAGTTTGTCTTTGTTTAAACTTGAGCAAAGGCAGCCACTTTGTGCCTCAACTAACTTAATGTGTGAGATGGAAACTGAACTTACCCGTAAGATTTGTACAGGATTTAGCTAAAAATACTCTAGATGTGTGGCACTACTACGTAAGGTCTTGCAAACATCAACCACCTTAATTACACTAAAAATTTAGTTAATCAGTAAAGACAGTGTGAGCTATATGAGACAAGTTCTGATTTTTATAATAATTTGCAAACTTCACAACATACATGGAATTATTTTATTATTCTATTTCAACTCAAAACACAGACTCAAAGAAAGCCTCTATTCAAGAAATTTGCTATCATTAATTCAATAATTCAATGACCAAAGTTATACATTCTTATTTTTATTAAATTTCTCCCGATGACATCAGCTACATGGCATTCTTTCCTTTATAAATTCACACTGCGACAGATGTTTAATTTTGATCATTTCAAAAATTTGGGTCCTAGGTGAGATTTTCATTCTTTCTCTTTAGGCTTAACTGCTCTGGATCTTGCTAAAGTTTCATTTGAAGAAATAGCTTCACTACTATAACAACAACAGAAAGAAGTAATAGTCAGAAAACTATAGTATCATAATCTGTATATACCAAATTTCTAAAGATAATTTAGTGAACACCAGAAAATAATTCATTTTGTCTCAGTCTCAGCCAATACAAAAAATTCTTAAAGTGAGTTATCTTTCCCAGATAAGAAAAGCACAGGTCAGAAAACATACCACCAGTTGTACATAAAACGAAACCCCTTTGCTATGGCTACAAAGCAATGCTGTCCATTTCTAATCTTAGAAAAACTGTAGCAAAGCATTTCAGAGAGGAAACAGGAAATGCAGTGATCCTCAGCTGTCTTCAGAGATTAAGTGACAAAATCACTGAATAGAAATCACAACACATCTGGGCTGGGGTGTACAGCTCAGAGGCACAATGCTCCTAGGCAAAGGTGAAGTCGTGAGTTCAATTCCCAGTACCAAAAAGAAAAAGAAAAAAAAAAAAAACCCTCAAAATATATTTGTAAAATTTAAATAGGTCTTTAATTTTTTTCTTATGTACAGCATAGGAAAATTTTAAGGCACTCTTAACACAAACTAAAGTATATTATAGCTACCAAAGAATCAAATTATACATCATGTGATAACCACATGGCATAAAACATTAAGATTTTTAAAATATAGTTTAGACTGGACTAATCTTAAGGTATTCCCAAGGGAACTTCATTCTTACATGAAGCATCAATCCAGAGAACTCCAAAGACACTTTAATTAAGTTCAATTTTCAGGGTAAAGTTTGTTTTACTAAAATAGCTAGTCATACTTCTAAACAATGAGCTTTTAAAAGTTCATATTTAAAACTCATAGAAAAATTTAATATATTTATTGTTAAGGGATTTTAATTTTAAAGAAATTACAAATTGTTTTCTTATGCACAAAAATTCAATCACTCACTTTATTCCTTATATACAACAAAATATCCTCAATTATCATCCATTTAAATTAATGACTTCCAATGATTTCTAAAATTTCGTTTCATAATCAAAGTATCTAAAGAAACACCATTCAACTTTACGACACTGCTATAAAATTACTAGAACTTGTTCACTGCTTTATTGCAGTGTAACGTGTACTAAAAATCAGAGCATATATTCTACTGTGAATGCTCTGTACCACTTATATCAAAGAAAGAGGCAATTTTAATATAAAAAAAAATCTTTCCTAATGATTTCAGTACAACATACCCTAGGATTCTGAAGCGTTGTAAATTCCCAGCTCAGACAAACTCATACTTAAATGTAAGAACAGGAAACCTTCCTTATTGGGAATTCAGGATTCGTGACTGCTAACACTTCTTCCTTCCTTCCTTCCTTCCTGCTGCTGCTCTATCCTCAATCACATAGGCTGCCTACAGATAGCCCCTCCTAGAGAAAGAGAACCAAGTGTTAAAGAGTAAGTGCTTAGAGACTGCAGCTCAGTACCTACGCTCCATGGTAGGGTTTCCTGTTCCCAGGAGGCTCCACAACAACTAGCTTTCCTACTAACAAGTCAAGCACATGTGCAAAACTGCAATTTAACTCAAATAAAAAAGGCTTAGAAGGCATAGCATTAGACATTGATGCTTTCTTTAAGTGGTTTCCCAGGACCTGTCTTGTTTTAATCAAGGTTCCAAGACATCTGGCCTGGTCCTCCAAATTAAGTGCTCGCCTGTTTTCAGTTTATACAGTCCCTATCACATTTAAACATTCTTTTAAGACAGTCTTGGTCAATCCACATTAGTAACTCTGGTTCTTTTGATATACAGCTTTCAGAAGCATAGTCCTAAAGGGAAAGTGGCTGTCAGGGTTCAAATTAACACTAAGAATATGTTCTAATGACTCAAATAAAATGCTTTCATACTCCACAAGATACATTTTTAACACTTGGGTAGCATTACATTTAATATTAATTTCTGACATTTTTCTTTAAAAAAATCCTGAATAAACTACTTACATAAATCATTTTACATATTCTGATATTTAAAGTCAGGTTACACAAAAAATTTATCCAACTGGTGAATAGAATATTAAACTAAAATCTTCAAAAAAAAAAATCAGTAAAAATAAAACCTTCACATGTATTCCTTAGGTAGACTGCCTACAACGTAAATACTCTACTCCAGTAAGTTTTCCAGAAAGTCATTCACAGGGTAAAAACAGCAGTGAACCTAAAAAATTAGCCATAAATAAAGGTCTAGAGGAATCAGAATTAGTAACCTCCCTAAACCAGCTTAAGGATGAAGATAGCCCTGTTTCTCTAATAAAAGTCTAATAAAATTAAATGAAATAATGTATCTGATAATATTTTATAAGGGGGACAAGGATCTAGCTCAGGGGCACAGTACCCTCCCAGCAAGTAAGAGGTTCTGAGTTGGATTCCCAGTTTAAAAAAAAAAAAAAAAAGTATGTACTTTATGACTAATGTTAGCAGTACTCAAAAAATATGTTTAAATTATTGTTCGCAGAACTACATAACAAAGTTTGGGAAACTATTTTATTTTACTACTTTATTTTGGGGAAGGGTCTACAGGGTCTTACAGGTCTAAATTGGACTTCTAGTGATCCTCTTGTCTACAGCCTCCCAAGGCTAGGATTATATGTATAGGCCACCACGCCCAGTCTCCATTGCCATCTCAGTGCACCCCAGGGGCAGGGCTGGCACAGCAGGCCAGGGGATCGAAACCCAGGCCCCTGCGCCTGCTTGCAGGCACTTTAATCCACTGGGCTATTTGGCTGGCTTGGGAAATTACTTTAAAAACTAAAATTTGAGGAAAAGCTATTTAGAAAAAAACCCAGATGATATAACTCTGCTGAATTAGCTAACTTTCTACTGAAAGTAAGCTAATCACCAGAATAATATGTAGAATTCCACTTACTGAATAAAGAACACTTAATCTATAGAAAATATATCAGTAATCAAAACAAGCCAACTACTCATAGATTTTGCTATATATTAGTTTAAAAATATACTCACGTCTGTATTCAATACTGTTGTCTGACTTTAAGAACTGTATGTCACTTTGGTGCGACTCTTCAAAAGCATGCCTTTGTCAACTTTTTTATTTAAATGAAGATTTTCCAATTTTATTTCATTAACCTTACTTTTTCCCACTGAAACTGTCAACATTTTATATGAAAAGGAGTACTAAGATAA